TTAAACATTCAAAAACTATGTGGCTTTTGGAAAACAGAAATACTGTATTCATGAAGTGTCCTAAAGCAAGTCCTGTATGGATACATTTTGGTTTCATATACAGCTTTGTACTTTAATTATCACATTTGGGGAGTAGGAGGTGCAGTAACTCAACACAACAACACATGGGTCTGTTAGGCTTTTTTCTGAGACTTGCTTTGTGTGTGTGTGCCAGAATATGTGGTGGGTTGGAAGACTTAATTTTTCTCTGTCTGCACACTTCATTTCTCCTCTTCTCTTCATGCAGACGTTGCACACAGCAGCTCTGGTGAGGAAGGCGGTGAGTCCCACTGTAAGAGCTGGATGTAGGACAGATGAAAGTACTTAGGTATTACCTGTAGTAATGTAATGCCATAGTTTATCAGTTTTTTCAATTTGTCCTGCCATGTCAAATGCCCCAGCCTAAAGTCTGTGACCCCACAGTTTCTCTAACTCCTTTCTACTGTGACTATAGTCGGCCTGGCTTGCTAGAGATTTGATTGTAACCCCTTGCTGCTTTGCAGTTTCTTCCTGGGCCGTTCCCAAGTCCTAGTTATTCACCCCCTTGACCATATAAGGCCACAGTCGCACACATGTAAATTTAAGGAGACTCTCTTTATGTTACAAATCACCAGCTCAGTATTTGTATCCCCCAATAGCAGATGCTTCCATCCCAGGTTAATTTCAGCGATACATAACACGCATGTGAGTGAGTGTTTGCTTTCAAGCATCAGAGAGATGATGCTGATTAGCATCCATCATGCACTGCTGATGGTACTCAGAAGGTGCTGAGGTCAGTGATGACTCACAGTTTGACATTAGGATTGTATTCTTTCTTTAAATGCCTGTCAGTCTTTATTTCTCTGTCTCTGAATGATAACATGAGCACTGTTACTTTACCCTGGAACGTGATAGCCTATTATACCCTATGGTTATCTGTCGGAGGACTTTGGATGCTAACCTGGTTGATACTCAGCAACTGCACACTGGAAAGTGGGGCCAAAACATGGGCTGATACACCTACAGTGGAATGGTAATCCACTATCCACCTTCTTTGTAAAAGAAAAACAAGTTTTATTGAAGACACCTTTAATATTAGGAAATACACCTATAGTATTTGTATACTTTGCTACAAGTTAAACATTATCTAATTAACTGAACTTCTTAGAGGAGAATGTCAATTAAAAAAAACATAGTAATACATCCACAGTATAAATAAGAGGAATAAAGCTGAATGACTAACAATAGCAAGACACAGAGCCTACAGGTGAGTAAGTCATCACAAGACAGAAATATATCCAAATCTACACTGATGACTGGATGCTGAGTAGCAGAAACTATACAGTGTCATTTGTACAGAAGTTTCACATCTTACTCTGTACTGGTCACTTAAGGACTTGATGTGACATGCCATGGTCTTCCTAGAACTGTACATCAGCACATCTGGCCCCAACAGGGGAATTCTGATGATCATGGTTTATCCAGTAAACAGCACTTTCTGCTCAGTGTGTTTATATTGCCACAAACCTATGTCTACAACATATAACAATAAGATTTTCTTTAGCAACTGTAAAGTCTTGGGACACAACATCATCCTTAATAGAATCACACACAGTCCCTCTGCTTTAACTTTGTAAGGATCCAGTCAGATCCCATAGCTGTATATAGACTACAAGCCTAGGGAGGTATACTTCTCATATACAGTAGTCCTATAATAATCTAAGAATCTGAGCAGTTGCCACGTGGAGTAAACTTTTATACCCAACACGCCATCTAGTGGCTTGTCTGGACATGGTAAATTGTGTTGAATTTACACCAGACTTGACTCTATTTGGCCTCTAGATGGTGATACACCTATTGGCAAAATGGTATGAACTGGAGTATAAAGGCCTCAGATTAGTGTATTTGCAGCAGATGTATCTTTAATTTTGGCAGCCAGATTATATATTCCTCATTATTTTGAATGTAGCAAAATTTTAACAAAAGAGGTAATACATGTTGTGGTTCAGTTTTAATGTGAGTTTTGTCTGAATAAGGACAAACAGCTGTGACCTGTGCTTGCTTTTCTCAAGTAGTCCTGGCAAGATTAGAATGCAGCACTCAAACAACTAGGTCAGCACGAACACACACACACACACACACACACACAGTCCCTGCTGCTAAGGGTGGTATGCTAATAATTTGTTCACTGCATGTCTTCCATTATTCTCTCAGCCCAGTTTCCGTTTTTTCCCGATCTGTCTTCTTTTTTCTTCCCTTCTTCTGCTTCTGTCTTCCACAGTGTCATATCCAATTGTAACACAGCAGAGTGGTTATTCAAAATAAACAGTAGGGATTGTCTGTCTGGGTCCAGTTAATGAGCTGTGCACACACAAGTTGGGGCTTCAAAGGTAATATTATCATGGGTGGAGACATCCGTACAAATCAAGGCTAACACTATCCAAAGACAACGTCATGTCAAGCCACATGTCCAACGTTTTATTAAATTTTGAAGCCAAGCTGAGCTTTGTCGTGTGATTAAGGGTGCATTTGGATGATCTAAAACACCAGCAATGAACTCCCACAAGGATTTTCAGTCCTTAACTTCAGGGTTAAGAAAATATTAAGCATGAGGAGTTTCCTTACCAAAACAGGATAAAAGTGGCTTTTCCAGTAACATGACTTTGCTAGGTATGTGTGTGTGTGTCCTCTGTGTATGTATGTGTTGGCTTAGGTTTGTTTAAATAGGAGAACATCTTTCCCAAGCAAAGGGAAAGGAAAAGGAATGAGAAGATATAAACAAAGGAGCCAAACCTGCTGTCTGTGTTGATAGGCAGCAGCTGTTAAATGGGCTGGACAGACAAATACACATTAGTGTAGATCAGTCTTTGGAGCTTTTATTCTGAAACTCTATGAGCCTCCCTAAATATGCTATACAGTGCAATATATTTCCTTTACAATATTTTGAGAACTGTAACAAACTGCGGCATGTACCATACAAAGTCACCCCCAAGTTGTGTATTGTCATTCAGAAATAATCCATCAAACAAAACATCATCAGTACAGATGGACAGGAAATGCTCAGATTTTATGTTTGATTAGAAATCAGAAGGGAAACGGTCTCAGATCAGTTCATATTTCTGTATATAGCCTATTCATAATTCCTTGCAGTATAGTGCCCATGGCTGAATGGAGCTTTAATGCCACTACAGTATATTAAGTCTTGTCCAACATTTATTCAAATTTAAAACAAGTTAACTGTCTTATTGTTCAGTGTAATATAACCTGAGGGTGGAGGCTGAACAGCAAGTCATCACTGCCTCGATGAATCTCCAGCAGCAGAGGCTGGTCACCCTGCAGCACTTCATGGATGTCTTCAGTTTTCTCCACTGGTTGCCCATTCAGCTTCACTATAACATCACCTTCCTTAATGCCTCCACTGAAACACAGAGTAAGGAAACTGTGGTCAGTGACTTGGTTCAGGGGTGATTGAAGCGTACTATCCACAAATAATAAGCTGCAGTGTGGAATCACTAGATATGCCAAACGCATTTGAAGGAGCACCAGTGTCTGGCTGGTGAATGCTACTCAGAGGAAACACAGTCTGGTTCCTAGAAAGGTTTCTTCTTTGCTGCATGCGCGTGTGCATGTGTGTGTCAACATACTTTCCTGCAGGAGTGTCAGGTATGACCTGTTGCACCAAAACGCCACTGCTGACATCAGGAAAGTCTGGGTTGTGATGTTTTAACTCTGCTACTAAACTGAAAGGCACCAACATTTAAAAATATAAATGGTAATGTTAATGCTAATGCAAATAATAATAATAATATGAAAAGCTTGTGTGTGTGTGTGTAGATGTTACAACTCACGCTGGTGTGATTGTGAGCATCCTGATGCCTAAAAAACGTCTCTTCGTTTCTGAAAACCACACAGACATGTAACCAGTCGTGAAAATGTACAGCCATTACAACAGATGCTTGTGCATCAGCGGTTCTCACCTGTGTTTGACTGTGGCTCAGCCATAAATCTTTGCTGCAGTCTTGTCCTTTCTGTCAACAAGTGGGAGTTGGAGTGGAGTGGGATGAACTGAGAAATACTAGGAAATGCCACTTTATGCAAAGTATTTCTACAGCTATTAGGACCTCAAACAATAAAAACTATTTGCTATTAGTTTCCATCTAGATAATGTTCAGACTTTGACCCCTGACCTTTGTCGTGTTTGATCTGTGACTCTGTGAGGAAGTGGCTGATCCTATCTGAGGGAATGGCGAAGGAGATGCCTGCTGTGACTTTCAGAGTGTTGATACCTATCACCTCGCCATCCTTTAAGAACAGGTAAACATAGAAACAAACATACAGACAGCATAGTAAAAGTTCCTAATGTCTGGATATGAAATAGTATCTTGAACGTTTGTGTACAATAAGGGTAATAATCAATAACATTTAAGATAAAATGTGGCAGAATTTAAAGAACATATGCTGAATTCATTATATTTAGTGACTGTTTCACTATTTAAAAGAAAACAGTGTATGGGAAAACACATTACATATGCACCACAAACAGCCACTGGTGCAAAATCCTGCAGTTATTTATGTACATTTTAACCTAAAATTTAGGCTGAACTGCCATTTAATTTTTATTTCATTCATGGAGTTGAACAACTGAGATGTTTTTATCCTTGCACACATGTTCAGTCCTGCACATATTGGCACTGTACACAAGTACCCCATGCACATCTCTTTCATTAAAACTAAGTGAACCTTTAACAATTTCACTGAATAATCTTCACAATCAATCCATCAAGTCATCACAACACTACTTACCAAGTTAACAAGAGGCCCTCCAGAATTGCCGTACTTTGCACAGAGAAGAAGAAGAATATCAGATCAATAATTTTAACATAAACAACTGGAAAAAAAATCCATATACAACAAAAGCAAAGCCAAGATGTACATCTGTAAAGAAAAAAAAACAGGCGACAGTGTGTATATACAGTGCCTTGCGAAAGTATTCGGCCCCCTTGAACTTTGCGACCTTTTGCCACATTTCAGGCTTCAAACATAAAGATATAAAACTGTAATTTTTTGTGAAGAATCAACAACAAGTGGGACACAATCATGAAGTGGAACGAAATTTATTGGATATGTCAAACTTTTTTAACAAATGGCCAGCACAGGAATCTTGGTCAAAGCACCACTGGACTTCAGATCAAAGCAAGACAGCTTAATTTCTAGAGCACATTTCCTAACCAGAGGCAATTCAAAGTGCTTCACATAGGCAAAGAAAAACAGTAACAGCATTAAATATTATAAGCATTAAAACCAGATCACTGCTTACTAAGGATGTCAGGGCCCTGCTGGGTTTGGATTCTGTAGGTAACTGGGAGCCAGTGTAAAGATTTAAGAACAGGAGTGATTTGCTCAATTCTCCTGGTTCTGGTTCAAACTCTCTGAACGAGCTGAAGTTGTCTAACAGTCTTTTGGGGAAGGCTAGACAAAAGACCATTACAACAGTCCAGCCTGTTGGAGACGATAGCATCAGTGAGTTTCTCAGGACATGAGACCTCAGAGTTGTACTATTTGTTCGAGATGATGAAAAGCTGATTTAGTTGTGGCCTTGATGTGACTGGTGAAGTTCAGGTCTGAGTCAATTATGACACCAAGATTTGTAACTTGAGTTTTTGTCTTCATAGTTCTACAATCAAGCTGATCAATAACTTCGGTCCTTTCGTTCTTGCTACCAAAAGCAATAACTTCAGTCTTGTCTGTAACTGAAGGAAATTTGATTGCATCCAGGTATTTACAGTGCCTTGCGAAAGTATTCGGCCCCCTTGAACTTTGCGCCCTTTTGCCACCTTTCAGGCTTCAAACATAAAGATATAAAACTGTAATTTTTTTGTGAAGAATCAACAACAAGTGGGACACAATCATGAAGTGGAACGAAATTTATTGGATATTTCAAACTTTTTTAACAAATAAAAAACTGAAAAATTGGGCGTGCAAAATTATTCAGCCCCTTTACTTTCAGTGCAGCAAACTCTCTCCAGAAGTTCAGTGAGGATCTCTGAATGATCCAATGTTGACCTAAATGACTAATAAATACAAATAAACATATCCAGGTGTTAGAATGGCCAAGTCAAAGTCCAGACCTGAATCCAATCGAGAATCTGTGGAAAGAACTGACAACTGCTGTTCACAAACGCTCTCCATCCAATCTCACTGAGCTCGAGCTGTTTTGCAAGGAGGCATGGGCAAAAATTTCAGTCTCTCGATGTGCAAAACTGATAGAGACATACCCCAAGCGACTTACAGCTGTAATCGCAGCAAAAGGTGGCGCTACCAAGTATTAACTTAAGGGGGCTGAATAATTTTGCACGGCCAATTTTTCAGTTTTTTATTTGTTAAAAAAGTTTGAAATATCCAATAAATTTCGTTCCACTTCATGATTGTGTCCCACTTGTTGTTGATTCTTCACAAAAAATTACAGTTTTATATCTTTATGTTTGAAGCCTGAAATGTGGCAAAAGGTCACAAAGTTCAAGGGGGCCGAATACTTTCGCAAGGCACTGTATGCAAGATTGTGTGTGTGTGAGCTCACATTAATAATAGCGTCAGTCTGGATGTAGTCCATGTCTGAGTCTTTGATGCCCAGCTCCTTGCCGTCTCTCTGTGCTGTGCTGACGATCCCGGTGGTGACGGTGTTCTGCAAGGCGAAGGGGCTGCCGATAGCAACCACAAACTCCCCTGGCCGCAGATCAGCTGAACGGCCCAGAGACAGTGCAGGAAGTGTCTTCTGCTTTAATAGACCAAAACACCAGCACACATGAGGGAACACGCACATGTACATAGATGTGTCAGATAGAGGCGTACTGGGCACGCTGTACAGAGAGAGAAATGCAGCTTACTTTGGAGGAGAGACCGACAGAACAGCAGAAGAAGTTAAAGTTTACAAAACTGTCCAAGTATTTGAGGTATGGGTGTGAGAAAACACACGTCAGCGCTGTGTCTGAGAGTCACAGACCTTGTGTTTATAAAAGTATTCCCACTAGTCTAGCAAAACACTGTCAAAACTTGGCACAGAGATGTGTCAGGATGTGGCCTCTTCTGCAACACTGCAGAATGTTTTCTGGAGCTTTTAAGTAAGTAAAAGAAAGTGTCATTTTTCCTAATTTATTCAAACTGGAACTGTAAAAACTATTTTAAAACAGTTGCTATGATCTTGACTGGAGGGTGTAAATTATTGTTTGTGCAATGTTCAGTCTCACCTGTGGATTGACCTTGATTGTGGCGATGTCTGCCTTCCTGTCTACATCTCTGACCACAGCCTCGTAGATGTCGCCGTCATGGAGCTGAACGCGAAGCTGGGGCCTCCCTGTTACCCTACCCGCTGTCGTTACTACATGAGCATTGGTCACAATCACACCTGACTGGGTCACAATAAAACCCGAGCCACTGGAGAGATGCGTGCGGCGACCAAACAGAGCATGTCTGGAGAACAGGACAAGACAAGGACTGATATAAAGGCTCTTAGCCATTTCACTGCCTAATTTCCCAAAGTGACAGTGAGAGGTTTAAATCTGAAGACTTCTACATTCTGAAGTCTTAGAACCTTTTATCCTGGGGATATGAATAAACAACCCAGCAGGTTGATTAGCTGTTCCTCTTCTTGTCAAATGCAGTTTTCATCTGTAACTTCCTCTGTCCTTAAGATTATCCACAAGAGAATAAACAATAAAAATAAACAATTCAAATGTACAGTTCTTTGTTTAAGGGGCTAACTTTTCTGTCCCACTCTTTATCTTCTAAGACAGGTGTGTCTTTTACACAACATTCCTTCACATAGAGTGTAATACCAATGCCAGATAGGGACAAAAGTTATTGCTCTCTCTACACAAACTACACACCTTACAAACAGCTCAATGTGGACAACAGCAGGTGCTATTTTCTCCACTACATCAGCGATGAAGTTAAACTTGTAGCGAGGGCTGCTGAGATGAACCAGGGAACCACCTACACTGACACAAAGAAGCCACTGCATTAATACACACACACACACACACACACACACACACACACACACACACAGTATAGCCATTCACATTCACCATGTGTGAATGTCAAAGGTTCTTTGAGGTTATATACAGTATTGTTCGAAATAATAGCAGTACAATGTGACTAACCAGAATAATCCAGGTTTTTAGTATATTTTTTATTGCTACATGGCAAACAAGTTACCAGTAGGTGCAGTAGATTCTCAGAAAGCAAACAAGACCCAGCATTCATGATATGCACGCTCTTAAGGCTGTGCAATTGGGCAATTAGTTGAAAGGGGTGTGTTCAAAAAAATAGCAGTGTCTGCCGTTGACTGTACAAACACAAAACTATTTTGTACAAACGTTTTTGTTTCTAGGATTTAGCAATCCTGTGAATCACTAAACTAATATTTAGTTGTATGACCACAGTTTTTTATAACTGCTTCACATCTGTGTGGCATGGAGTCAACCAACTTGTGGCACCTTTCAGCTGTTATTACACTCCATGATTCTTTAACAACATTCCACAATTCATTTACATTTCTTGGTTTTGCTTCAGAAACAGCATTTTTGATATCACCCCACAAGTTCTCGATTGGATTAAGGTCCGGGGATTGGGCTGGCCACTCCATAACATTAATTTTGTTGGTTTGGAACCAAGACTTTGCTCGTTTACTAGTGTGTTTGGGGTCATTGTCTTGTTGAAACAACCATTTCAAGGGCATGTCCTCTTCAGCATAAGGCAACATGACCTCTTCAAGTATTTTGACATATGCAAACTGATCCATGATCCCTGGTATGCGATAAATAGGCCCAACACCATAGTAGGAGAAACATGCCCATATCATGATGCTTGCACCACCATGCTTCACTGTCTTCACTGTGTACTGTGGCTTGAATTCAGAGTTTGGGGGTCATCTCACAAACTGTCTGTGGCCCTTGGACCCAAAAAGAACAATTTTACTCTCATCAGTCCACAAAATGTTCCTCCATTTCTCTTTAGGCCAGTTGATGTGTTCTTTGGCAAATTGTAACCTCTTCTGCACGTGCCTTTTTTTTAACAGAGGGACTTTGCGGGGGATTCTTGAAAATAGATTAGCTTCACACAGACGTCTTCTAACTGTCACAGTACTTACAGGTAACTCCAGACTGTCTTTGATCATCCTGGAGCTGATCATTGGCTGGGCCTTTGCCATTCTGGTTATTCTTCGATCCATTTTGATGGTTGTCTTCCGTTTTCTTCCACGTCTCTCTGGTTTTGCTCTCCATTTTAAGGCATTGGAGATCATTTTAGCTGAACAGCCTATAATTTTTTGCACCTCTTTATAGGTTTTCCCCTCTCCAATCAACTTTTTAATCAAAGTACGCTGTTCTTCTGAACAATGTCTTGAACGACCCATTTTCCTCAGGCTTTCAAATGCATGTTCAACAAGTGCTGGCTTCATCCTTAAATAGGGGCCACCTGATTCACACCTGTTATTTCACAAAATTGATGACCTCACTGATTGAATGCCACACTGCTATTTTTTTGAACACACCCCTTTCAACTAATTGCCCAATTGCACAGCCTTAAGAGCGTGCATATCATGAATGCTGGGTCTTGTTTGCTTTCTGAGAATCTACTGCACCTACTGGTAACTTGTTTGCCATGTAGCAATAAAAAATATACTAAAAACCTGGATTATTCTGGTTAGTCACATTGTACTGCTATTATTTTGAACAATACTGTATATGGAAAAGAGAAACAGTTTGGGAACATGCCAAATGGGATTCATCTAAGCTCTGTACTGGGAGGAGGAGGGTTACTGATCCAACTGAGTTACAATCTCTGGAACAAATGATTAGGATGAGAAGAAAGTCCCTCATTCAGTCAAGACGTCACTGCTAAAGTAGTGGTAATAAAGTGAAATAGGCGGATTTAGAGTGATACTGTACAAGTTAGAGCAAAACTACAGTCATAACCAAGAGAGAAATATTCTTATACGTGCAGAACTTTAGATGTGTATAACCCAAATGCCGCTTCTCAAATATACTCATTGACCGTTTGTGCGGGTTTTTATGGGCGTACACGTGTACTCAAAAGATCAAAGTGAAAACTTTTCCAACCTCCACTACAGCATCCCTACCTGCGTCTGAACATGAACATGGACCTTTGTGCGCTTGGTTAACTGCGGGTCTCCCCATCTGCTGAGCTTTACGGCTGGCTGCTCTCAGCTTACACACACTGTTGTACGTTTTCCCGTCGCTTCCACACACTTCGTGCTCCTTCTTACACCGGCAGACCCCCTTGGACCCTCGCCGCCTCCCCGCTGCAAACAGCTTGCATTCCAAGCCTTGCCCGCAGGGCAGGTCGTTCTTGCGGCCGCAGGGGTCTCCCTCGCTCGGTGAACACACCAGGCAGCAGTTGCATCGGTCCAGGACGTACCCGCCGGGACAGCTGGGGCTCGGGCACATGCTCACGTCGCACGCAGAGGCGCACTTCTCGGCGGGCACCGCTCCAGTGAGATCGTGCGTAAAGATAAAGGCAAGTAAAAGCCACGGCATTGCTGCGAAGCCGAGAAGTTCGGAAGGATGATTTTTTTGTCTTAATCAATGATGCCTCTTTGTGTTAATACCATAAATAACAGCAGTCTAAAGTTCCCGGTGGCTCTACTGGTTGCTTTGAAGAGGTTTCTTTCATTAAGGCCCAAGTGGTTTTCAAAGCTTAGATTGACCTCATAGTCGAGTCATCGGTGTCTGCATATTTTGACAGCTTGTCACTGAACATCGTTTAGGTTTGCTCCAGAGTGAGCACAGAGGCTGGAGCGCAGGCAAGGCATGAAACTGGTGATGCGCACCATCTAGTGGGGAGAAAGACGGAACCACAAAGGCCAGTCCGGTATCATTCTTGTACAGTTTTCCTCTAAAGCAGCGACCAGCCTAAACTAAGCTCAAATCAGCCAAATGGCATTTGCACATAGTATCAGTCTGGTCTTCCTTTCACTATGTATTCAAGTATTTAACAGAAAATACAGCTGGTGAAACAAACATCCAGTGTTCATATTAAAGTATCATCTGTGTAAATGAATTTTTTAGGAAATTCTATAAAAAGGAAAATAATTTAAACACAGGCATTTTCCCACATGATGAAACATGTAAGTGTTTCATAACCAATAATGGTTCAAACTAAGTCAGTTTTACTCAAATCTTTAAAATATCATTGATGTAAACCAGTGTCCAGCATTAGAAAAACTACTACTTTCTTGAAGTCATTGATTTAGAACATCTGGTAGTCACTTTGGGTTTTTTGTGCTGAATTGAAGCAGTACCAATCCAAGGCAGAGGTAGGCCTGTCGTATGAGGACAGCTTTCCACAGGGCAGTGTTAGACAATGCTATGTGGCACCCTGCTCCTCAATAGTGATGGGAATTCAGCTGACACATTACTGCTACTCAGTGCTGACACACACTGCTGGTATTGCAACATCTTATTTAGTTTCCTCCCCAGACATGTGTTGTGCCTCAGTACGAGTGTTGGGGGTGCTGTCTCTCTCTAAACGGATATGTATGTGTGGTGACACTTCAGCTCTGCCTCACTTCTACCACTGTCTATCTGGGGAGAGAATGCGGTTGGATGCATAAAATGAGGGCAAGTAAACTTGTTTGTGTTCACATGACAACATCTGCTCATCGGTGCCTCCATCAGAACCTTTATCATTTTGGCTTTCAAAATCCAACAGGATTATAGCAAGACTCCTAGGTCTTAATGTATTTTATTTTCTTCAAATACAATTAGTACATGAGCCAAAAGTGTAAAAAAGCCAATTCATTTCTAAATTCCTGTACAGCACAGAATGCACAGACTGGTTCATCTGCACTAGAACTCTGCAGTTATTAATAGCTCCCTTTGGCCTGAGGCATTACAGTTACCGTCACTGGTTAAGCATTTACAAGTTTAAAAGCCGTACCACGAGTGTATGAAAATTCTCGCCTCGCCCAAGTCATCTTAGCCCTGATGACTACACCTTTGTCAATACTGTTCAAAGACTGTAAGCACCATGTTCCTCTCAGCAGTTAGTTAAAAAAAAAAAACATGTGACAGACTGGTACCATGTGATGCATCTCATTCCTGTGCACATTTCTGTTAAAGTGTAGCATATACAACTGATGAAAAAAAACAAAGATTCACATTTCTCCATATTTTATTTTTCACCCATTAAATAAACAACTTACAGTATCTCATACAATCATGGAGTTGGAATAAAAACTTTAAGATGCATACATAAGAAAAAACAATGGCATCGAGCACATGTGAAACACTGTCCTTGGTTTTATTTTACTCCTTCATATAATGTATAATAAAGGGGATGGACAAAATGCCATCTGCCATGCCACGAGGTTCAAGATAAAGCTGCTTGCCAGCAAATACATGTCAAACAGGAAATACATTCATTATGAAAAAGTCTTTCTGACAGCACTTATTCATACTGAAATGTTTAAGAGCAAGAATCTGTGTAGAAACCGTAAACAGATTACATTCATGCAGTGTGTTTCTCACCAGTCCTCCTTTAAGACTGTATTCAAGTTTCAAAAACTTATCGAAGCTTTTCAATGCTCCTTCCACAGAGATTTTGGCAAAAGTGAGAGCTGAAGACACTGGGTTAGTATTTGTACAAGAGATGTGGTTTTGAAAATGAGCCCAGTAGTCAAACACTTCCAGCAGGGCAAGTGCACATCTCTACTTCAATAAAGTAATCTTACAAGGGGAAGCAAATATTTTTAGACTTCATCAGAAGCAATATCGTCCTAGAGAAAAACTCACTTTCTGGAGAGGTCTGAGAAACCAGTCCTTTAGACTCCACAGCACTACTGAACCACAGATCTGGTGGTTTGTGCTTTGTAAGCAGCTGTTCTTTGGCCATTAGTCCCATTAAGAGACCTTGCAAGAGGCTTCAGCGGATACTTTGGGTGAGTAAGAAAAAAAAAAAATTCCTGCCTCCTAACAATAAACAAAGCCCACCCCTATTGAAAAGCTGATTATGCTATCAAATCGCCATAGTAACCACAAACAGCCCCGAGATCTCTAGGAGACACTGGTGTACCAACCTGTCCACCTCCCATGCTTCTCTGTGCTCCCTTCACAAAGTGAGGAATGGACCAAAGCCCAGTTTCTTCAGAAACAATTCTTCAGCTTACTTTGTATCATCAGGTCCTCTTCATTTGTTTGCTAACTTTGACAAATATGAGCAGTTTCCAGTGTGAAACTCTCATCTTCTCCTTCATTCCATCCTTCCCAGCTCCAGGACAAAAGTGAGCTGTTGCTCAAGCCTCTCCTCAGCTCCCCCTCCTCACCTTTTTCTGACTACCAGGAGGAGAAAATGGGCCGCTTGCAGTGGAAGGTTTGTGTGAAGGCATTGCCCAGTGTAACTACACGCCCCTGGCCCCCTGAACGGCTGCGCTCCACCACCACCCGAGGCATCTGCACCAGCTGGAGGGGGCTCTTCCCGTCCTTCAATGCTTGAGTCAGGTTCAACACCTGTGGATAAACAGGAATTCCATTTGAAATGCAGATACTGTGCAGTGCAAATAAAAACCAAGAAAAAAATGATTCATTTTCTCCATTCCGAGTACTGCTGTACTAGAGATCTGGTAACAGGTTAAGCACCAATAAGAAATCTGATCTAATCTGTTGCTGAATGAAAAATTTCTACTTATATGTTTACTGTAAATGTGTGTCATTGTCACATCTGAGAATATTAAGATATTATCTGCGACTCAAAGGACTTCGTTAAAATGCAAGTCAAAGGGACACTCAGGGCTGCAGCTAACATTTCATCTGCTGATCATTCATTTGGTCCTAGAATGTCATTTAATTTATAGTAAGAAACAGCATGAAAGCATCCCGTAGCCCAAGCAGAACATTAAAAATAGACAGTACACAGTAAAAGGAAAAACTTTAAGCTTGCATATGCCTTTAAATAGTCATTGGTCATTAATCCAGAGCGGTAGAAGGATAGCATGGGGGACAGATGGGGAGCACGTTAAAAAAAGAAGTAAGGCGAGGCAGTGCAGTAGAATACAGGGAGTTGGAGGGGAGGGTGAGAAATTAGGTTCAGATGGTTGATGATGAGGTTACAGAGCAAATGATGAAGGTGGCAAAGTGGGACGTGGGAGGAAAGGACAGCATGGTAGGATATAAACAGAAAGAACAAAAAAAAAATAAAAAAGAGGCCACACATGAATCAAAGAAAGTGACAGGAATAACTCAAAAGTAATCAGTTTACAACAGAAAACTCACCTGTCCCCTCATAACAGACATCTGTCTCTCAAACATGGGTTTGTCAAATCCTTTATCCGTCTGAAGAGAAAGAAAATGTCTGATGTTAGCAGGTGTACAAAATCCACGCTTTGCTTTGCAACCAGCAGCTGCTTGTTTCCATGACTACTAAAAACTATTTTACTTTCATGAACAGAGAAAACGGGAACAGAAGAAGTGGTGTGTACCTTGAACATCTCATACAGGTCCTCACAGAGGTCCTGGACAAAGTTCATGTCCGAGAGGCGGGACAGCACCAGTTCTCTGGTCTCCTGGGAGAAGGCTACCTTAGCCTGGGGGAGCCATGCCCAGTGGAATGGGTCTAATGACAGGAGGCAATGTAAAAGCACGGTTCAGTACACCATACGTCATTTACCAGCTGCTACAATGACACCCCTGCTCTCTCACGTTAGTCCAGTTACAGTTTATGGTGCTATGTTGCTGCAAATTCATTCTGGTTTTTCTACTGTTGTTTTTAATTACTGCAAACTGTACCTCAATTTTTCCCAGAACCACCATCAAAAAGGACCTATAATGCTATATAAATAAATAAAAATGAATTCGTTAGGTTTTTGGAAAAATATACTAATTTGTTTTCTTGTCTCATAGCTGTGTGGTATGTATGTAGCTAGAGCCAGCAGACAGCGTGCTCGGTCCAAAGGTAACAATATCAGAGCAAAAACTTCTGCCTCAACTTCATCCACTGCCATGGGGCATGGATGAGGAGGAAAAAAAACTGTGTTCAATGTCCGTGAACAGATCCTGATGAAGACCATAAGCCAACTGAAAAAACTGCAAGTGTTGCTGGAGTTTTAATCTTTTCAAAGGTAGCGATATCCGCACACCAACAGTTCTATGGTCTGCTAAATAACATTGATGATATTTTGTTTGTGTAATCCAGGCAAATACCAAAACGTGGGTTTTATGTAGAGTTGCAGATTTGATGGACTTTGAGGCGAGTTGTTTCAGGTGGTTTATCTGGCTAGTGAGACAGGCAGACTGTTTTTCCAGTCTTTATGCTAAGCTAAGCTAATCTTCTGCTGGCTCAGGTATCACATTTAGTGCACAGACCTGACAGTCACATTGATCTTCTCGTCAAAGTCTCAGTAATAAAGCACATACACGTATTAACGGGAATGTCAAACAATTCCTTTGACTGATCATTTTCATATTCCTGATATCATTAAAATGTACAGCAGAATCTAAACTCTAAAAATGTTTTCTAATCTTTTATGTGATTATAAAATATTACTATTACAGCTATTATCAGTGTAACAAAGAATTTCATCATGTTGTGCTATTTGAACACTTTCTAGAAAATATATTTATTTAAAAAGGACTAGATTTTGACAGAGCCAGGAGACAGTGAAGACAGAGCATGAATGAGAAGAATGGGAGAAAACGGAGCAGCATACAGGCTCTCCATTCATCTGGGTGTTTAAAGGGGAAGGCCAGGCCATTATCGATCGCAGCGATCTTGATGCAGCAGTCTGGACAGCCCTCTGGCCACTCTGCATCCTACAACAAGGGGGAAGGAGAGCAGCAGTGAAGACATCACCATTAACTGACAGGATGACTAATGACCACTGACCAGGCCTGTTATTGATCACTGTCCAAAGGGCTGATTAATTGGACAGATAGATGACAACCTCTGCTCATTTATCAATACATAGCAAATAATGACTAAGGCTGTGAGATAGTTCTCACTAGCAAGGTCACCATCTGCTTATGTGGTCCTGTCTGTGTGTGAATGAATGGTGGTGCTTAAAGCACACTTTAGTGTATGTCTATGGAAACTCAAAACCATTCACAGGTTAGAACCAAAACAACACGAGCTGTGACCTATGATGAAAATGTGTCAACATTCCAGCAGTTCAAGTATGTGAAACAAGGTTAAAAGCTGCTTTGTGATAAGTCTAAACACACTTTAGGTAAATGTGGGTTTAACCTCACCTTTTGTCCATCTCCTTCAGCTCCGTCTCCTGGCTTCTCATACTTTATCAACCAGTTGTCATTACCACGATCTGAGGAGGAAGACAGAGTGAAAATGGAAGTGAGCAGGTTTGTTTTTGCAGGTATATGAAAGTGGTGGTGGGGGGGGCTATAGCGTAAAATAAGACAAAAATAAGAAAGTAAAAGAGGATGAATGTCTTTTTGAATCCAAGTTAATGCAAGTTAAACTGTTAACCTTGTACAGGGATGTAACAAAGTTTGACTGACAGGCTGTTATGTAACACAGAAAAACAGACACACCCTCACCTGTGTTTCTGATAACGTAGTCTAACACCACCAGACGCTCAAACTGGGACTGCAGCTGCTTCCTGATGTTCTCTGGCAGAGGTTCTGTCTCAAAGCGCCGCAGCCAATGGACTGCCTCATGGTAGCCCTCCACAAACAGCTGAAATGAACCCACCTGGAAGTAAAAGCAAGATGCATCACATATACATAAACCACCTCTGCACTGCAGCTTTCAAGGCTCTCAACACAACAGGCAGTTTGTTATATGGTAATGATGTGGTGGACTGAAATCCCAGCAGCGTATGACTGTTGAAATATGAAGTCAAGTTCCTCATACAACTTCCTGAAGCCACTTTTCACAACTTCTGACATCGAAAAAGATACATATCACCCAGAATGACGTCCCAAATAGCAAACAGTGCAATGCATTGTACAGAACACTGTACCAGAGACAAGAATAACCAGTCACTGTTGGAAAGACATCAAATAAGAACTCAGTTTAAAGCAGTTGACACTGATGCTTCCTCTGACTTATTTGTAAAAACATGCAAAACACAAAGGTTTGACATTAAAGACGCTTTAAATGAAGAGATATTTATTCTATAGTTAGTAGTAGTAAATATTAATACTTGTCCTTTTTAGACTATTTGTACAGGCCTTCTCCAAAGTGTTTCAAATGACAACAAAGCAATCAAAAACAAAATGCAGTGCACACCACACCAGAATGAACAAGAGAAGGGTTTCCAGCAGTTGAATGAATGAATCACACTGAACAACAACAGGTTGCTGGCATTAGATGTTGAAGGGTTACCAGTCTGTCTTACCTTGGGGGGCAGGCCCACTCTGTGGAAGTGTCTTGCCACTTTGGGGACTTTCTCTAAGGCGTACTTCTTCCCCTTGGACTTCGCTCTGTCAATGGGACTGTAGTGGAAGGTCTCACTAGCCAGATAAACCACCTGATTAAAAAAAAGAAAACACTGGTTTAGTTGTACCCTGTGATCAACGCAGGATCATCTAGAATAAGAAAGAATAAATAACTCCACCTACATCCAGAATTGATTGTGTGTTTACCGAGTTTGACTTCATGTACATGTGTTAATGAATCAGTTTAATTTTCAGTGGAGTGAGACTGGACACTAACTCGGAAAACTCGCAGTCATATGCACACTCTTGGATTCCCACCTTGGTTCTGGGCACCACTCCCAGTCCAAGCTTGGTATCAACCAGCGAAGCAGCAGCCTCTGAGAGGTAACCCTGGTTAGGCACCAAGCAGCCTCGGCCAAAACAACACGGGCAGCAGAGCTAATGGGAGAGATACGGACATGGAGAGGGTTCTGGAGATAAAGGTGATGTAATGGTACTCACTGAGTACAATGACAAAGTTGCATCTAATCTAAAATATTCTAAGAGATCCGCCAAGAAAGGGATATTAGAGAACAAGGGCAACCAGAAAATCTTGAGAAAGCTGTTCTAAAACAAACAAACAGGTTTATAGTGTTTATCTATATTCACACAAAACATGTAACACAGTATACCTTGTGAAAATATTTGGTCCATTTAGGGTTCAGGTGACCATAAGGTTCCTCTGACTTTGGTTTGAAGACACCAACGATTTTCTGTAGAAGGAAGGGAATGGTAAAAAAACACACACACACACATTTTGCCTGGAAAAAATACTGCATTGTTAGATTACATGGGTCTTTTAAGAACACGATGCAAGAGCCACAAGCAAGTTATAAGCAACAAACCTAAAGAGACAGATGTTACTAACAAGTTAGAGATCAATATCCGTTCCCTGTGGTGCACAGTAAATGAGATGCTAATCATGTACTCAGGGTAGCTGTTATCGATGTGAGCATCACTGGCTGCATTATTCAGCAGCTCTTTGCTGCGGATTCATCTTACTGTGCACTTCTCAACTCCTCACTTCCTTTTCACTCCTTTCTGCTGCTCAGCTTTGCTCGAGACCAGTGTAGAAACATCCTGCAGGGAGCTTATAGTGAGCTAAATATTAAAAAGCTAGTGCATTTAATCACTGGCTAGTATGTTTAAACTAATTGGATCAATCTGAATAGGGAAAGTCAACCAATCATGTGTCTCAGAAAATCATAGCTAGCATTTCAAAAACTAATGTAAAAGGCAGTAAAATAAAAACTTTACCTATATTACCAATAACTCTCTTCATTTATCATTACCATCCCTCTATCACCCGCTCACCCCTTTTGGGTCTTTGACAAAGTAGCTCCCACTGGAACCCTGGGAAATCCTCTCTGGAAAGACGCCATTCTCAATAGCTTGTTCCACCTTTTGTATAATATCTGCAAACTCAGGATCGTCAGGGAAATGATTGAAGTCCCCACTGTTGGCCCCTAGAAGGGGGATAAATTAAGGTTAATATTCATATTTACAGTGTGGCCAATTGGGCCGTGTTACAGTAAAACAGCAATAGCTTTTTTAAAAGAATAGATCATCAACTGTACTGTCCTACCACTTTCAAGATAGAGTTTTAAATTTATGTCATGCAGTTAAAATGTGTTGGTAACAGTCTGTGAACCCCAAAAGCACTTTTACACAATCAACTGCTTCGCTCTCAAAAAGTATGGAAAAAAGCCATAACTGAAATATATTGCTAATGTTTATCATCATCATCATATTGCATGCTGAAACATAAAAGGTAAAATGATTATTAATGGTAAAAAAAAAAAGAGTAGAATGCATATCTTTGACAGGGAAAAGTAGCCAAGAGTGAAAGCACAAAGCCTAATTTGACTTAATCATTGTACACTATGTGTATGAATAACAAATGAAAACTAACTGCAAAAATCTGATTTGGCTGAACATAATATTTAAAAGCATTCATGGGTTCATTCATTTTTGAAAAACAAGACTAATAAGATGATGTTGCTCTATAAACTGTGTTTAAACCTAACACAGTACAAACTGAACTTCACTAAAAACGTAACTACTTCATCTAATTATGTATGTTTATCTACAGGTCACTCTTTTCCATCCACGGTTTCACCTCTAATGACTAGTGGTGTAACGGTGCAACAATACATCATGATTCAAAAATATGACAAAATGCATTGTGAAACTGAAAAATGGTCTCAATATCAGGTCAAGACTCCCATGAAATTGTTTTTTTTTTTGTTGTTAAAGCAAGAGGGGGCAATCAGCCAGATGTTTTCTTGACCACCCTGTCAGTGGCTACATTAGCCATTAGCTACACTAATGTAATTACATTCTAATTTACAGAATAAGGGAAGGGTTTGAATAATTAACAAAATGTTTGGAAACTGTTTTCGTGAAATTACTTACCCAAGAAGAAATGAGTAACTGTGACACTAGTTTTCATTCTGACTGTCTTATCGTGAGTGTATCGATCCCTAAAGCCCTGGATGGTGCATTGAAACGACTCATGAGAGTCAACTGGAGCCATCCATCCATCATCCATCCATCCATCCATTCTCTAAACTGCCTATTGTGTTCATAATCATGGGAGGCTGGAACTGTTCCCAGCACATACTGAGCAGTGGGGCAAAGCAGGTAGCTAGTCTATCAGTGGACTAACACACACACATTTATGGGCAATTTACAATTGCCATTTCACCAAACCTATCTGTTTTTGGACACACAGGCAGAGACACAGTCTCAGAGTGAGGCCCCAGCCTCTGGTCTGTGGATTTAACTCAAAGACCCTCTTGCTGTGAGGCAATGTGACACTGCCACTTGTCAGAAAATGGTGTTCTTTTATTGCCTTGCAGATCTAAAATAGTTCTCTGGATGTGAAGAGCCACTGTGGTGCTAATTATTCATTTGATGAAGGCCCAATCCTATGACATGACATTTTAACTTTTCCTCAGACAGGGAAGAACAGTCAGCTAAAGGAAAGGCTCCAAATGCTCCGTATCAGTCACACTTGGATGCAGGAAGAGATGAAGGGACAGAGGGGAGGGGAGATAGAATGGACTCAGGGACAGGAGGACAGTAAATGTGCCATTTGTCACAGAGAGATAAGGAGAAACAAAGAGAGCTAAGAAGCTAATTCACTTGATCAGGAATGGGGAGTGAAATGAAAAAGCAGCAAAAGGATGAACAGAAGGCTGGAGATATGCTAATGCAACATCCGGTGTCTGGATTATTTAAAAACTAAATATCTGTCAGGGTTATCCTAGTCATGTGATCCACTCGACCACCCACATGAAAATTTCCTAACATAAGCTGTTAAAGAGGCAAAATAATCATTTTACTTAACAGGGAGTGTTGGATGAACTTCCATCTCTCTCTAAAAGCCACAAGGTTTGTGCATGAAATGCAGCAAGGGGGGGAGGGCATGACATTTTAAGATGGACTGCACATTTGTGTTTAGTGCTCCATTTGGTACTAAACCCAAGTCACACTATAAAATTATTTCAACCATGAGTTGAGACCCTGACCTGGGCTTGTCACACCAATAGGTCTGAACATGCTCTAAAACCCTCTCTCTCCAGATTTCCATTAAACGGAAGAGAAGCTGCACTGACACACAGATCACATCAGTAGAGACTCCAAACTCCTTGACTTTCATTTGGAGCACATGTAAGGTGTGACCTTACATCTTTGATGTAAACACAGGAAGTTGTACTTGCATGTTTGGACCAAGCAGCAGTCACCAAGCCTGAGTAATGAAGCCAGTGAAGAAATATTAATGCCTGCAGTTCCTTGAACGGCCACTTGAGGCGGGGCTCCTTAAGGGAGTTAATCCCCAATTTTAAAGCAGAAATAAACATGTTTACAGCCTGGTACAAAAAACAATTTTGGTTTCTATAGCTATTTTCCCCTTCCATGGCAACTGTACAGAGGATGATTCTATTTATTTATTTATTTTCTAACTTGCCTGTTTAAATGTGTACTAAAGGTTACACATTTAATTAAGGGCATGGCCACTCTGAATGACAGGTGGGAGGGTCCCGCCATAGGTGTCTAACCACTAGCTATGGAGCTGCACTTACAGTGGGTACGGAAAGTATTCAGACCCCCTTAAATTTTTCACTCTGTTATATTGAAGCCATATGCTAAAATCATTTAAGTTCATTTTTTTCCTCATTAATGTACACACAGCACCCCATATTGACAGAAAAACACAGAATTTTTGACATTTTTGCAGATTTATTAAAAAAGAAAAACTGAAATATCACATGGTCATAAGTATTCAGACCCTTTGCTGTGACACTCATATATTTAACTTAGGTGCTGTCCATTTCTTCTGATCATCCCAGAGATGGTTCTACACCTTCATTTGAGTCCAACTGTGTTTGATTATACTGATTGGATGTGATTAGGAAAGCCACACACCTGTCTATATAAGACCCTACAGCTCACAGTGCATGTCAGAGCAAATGAGAATCATGAGGTCAAAGGAACTGCCTGAACAGCTCAGAGACAGAATTGTGGCAAGGCACAGATCTGGCCAAGGTTACAAAAAAATTTCTGCTGCACTTAAGGTTCCCAAGAGCACAGTGGCCTCCATAATCCTTAAATGGAAGACGTTTGGGACAACCAGAACCCTTCCTAGAGCTGGC